TAAATGTTGTGGTTTGGTTGCCTGGGAGGAACCAGGGGAAAGTTTGAAAAAACCTGATATTAACAATAGAAAAGGCAACAACATCATTCATGAGTTACTACACTTCAACAACCACTCTTCAACAACAAAATGCTACCAGAGACACAGTCGACTGAAATAATTTAATCTTTTCTTAGAAAATATCTATATTTGATCTTGGGCTCGGACAAAGAAGGACAATTAATGTCAATGTCAGAGACACTTGAGTGTTTAACTGACTGTGATAGCTAAAAACACTGCACTCATTTTATATAACACTATCTGGATTTCATTTTCCATTCAAAACCTCAGATATGTCACATGCAGTCTCCTTGTGAGATGAACTTTCTACTGAGTCCAAAATTCTCAGTGGACATCAGACTCAGCCAAGTGATACGTTAATTCATTTTTTATAACTTCAGAGCTACTTTGCTGGGTGGCCAGCACCGTCTCCACTGGGAAAGACAGATATAAAGCCTCTTCTTTCAGTTTTTTCGAGGAAGGAGGACCTCCAGTGCAAAACAGTGGCTCTGATGTTTTTAAAGTCATTTCAGGGTTGTTGTGTGCCTTTCTTTTTAGGTTCTTCTTCTCCTGTTTGTAGGCCGCTTTCATGTTGGCTATCACCTGAAAGGAGGACACATATTCAGAAACCAAACAGGTGAAGAAATGTGTTTGAACTACTCCATAAACATACAGTAGTTGTATTTTTTAAAATTATCCAACATATTTGCTATCATACTACATGCAGTCACTAAAATAACACAAGATCAGTTTTCTTGGATGCAGTGGAACAAATCTCCGTTTTGTGTGTGTGTGTGTGTGTGTGCGTAGACTCTACAGTATGCAATACAAAGAGACGGAATGATATATTCCCCCCCATCATCCATTCTGTGAACTGTTTTATCCTTTTATCCTCACGAGGGTCGCGGGCATGCTGTGACCTATCCAAGCTGTCTTTGGACAGTTGGCGGAGTACAGGCTGAACTGGATGCCAGCCAACCACAGGGCACATAGAGACAAACAACCATTCACACCTAAAGACAATTTACAGTAGAGTATTCCATTAAACTAAAGCATTTCAAGCCAGACACAAGAGTAACATGAAAATAATGACTCCATTCCACATACAAAATACACATCTTAAAAGATAAACAATTACCAGCTGCTTAACAGTGTTCTGATGTTCTTGCATTATAGTCATGTATGTGGAACCCTTATCTTTGACAGAATACATGTCCTGCTCATGATCATCATATCCAAGTGGACCAAGTGTAGCCTATGTGAAAGCAAAGGGAATTTAGAGAAAAGAAAGCCAACTTACTTGTTATAAATAGCTTGTGCCCAGTCTTACCTGGTTTAGAGTGTTAGCTTTCCGGTTGAACATGAGAGAATAAGGAGTGAATTTGGTTGTGGGGTTTATAGATGTTCTGAAGAGAAACAGCACGGGGTCCAGGAAGTCATCCCACTCTGCCTGTTTTTCTATCACCATCTGCATTATGGCCTCCTTCAACAACGGACTGGTGCAATCGTGTAGTGGGTTAAGTTGAGGCTGTGCTACAGCAGAAACTTTTTGCACGATACCCCATCTGCTGCTCAAAAGATCTGTAACCTGCAAAAAATAACCCACAAAACACTGACCCGCCAGAGAGCCACACTTTGTCATCCTCTGAATGGTTCATTATTGACTTACATCTCACCTCATCACAGAAGTCTGGGCTCTGTGTGCACACTATGGTTTTAGGGGCACCAAACCTGAAAACAGGGTGAAATATCATTCCAATAGTAATACATTTCTAACTATTAAAACAATACAGCACAATACATCCCGATTGATATTGCACTTTCACATCAGTTGCAGCTGTAACAAAGTGCTTTACAAAACAGTTAACATAAAGTAAATAATAAACACAACACATAACACATACAAGGAAAAATCAAATGCTTTTCTGAGATAATTTGATGTCAAGGCGGCCAACTGGTTAGCACGTCCGCCTCACGGTACTGAGGTCAGGGTTTGAATCTGGGCTTCCGTCTTCCTGTGTAGAGTTCAGGGTGTACCCCGACTACCACCCGAAGAAAGCTAGGATAGGCTCCAGCACGCCCGCGACCCTCAAGAGGATCAGCGATTATGATAATAGTGGATGGATGGATGAATTTGATGTTAAAGTTTTCTTTTCATCAGATTATATGGGCCAAAGCAGTTTGAAAATGTTTAGATATTAGGGCTCAACGATAATTCAATATCAATATGTATCAGTCATATCGCCCAACCCTAACAGATATAAATCATCCAGAATGCTAAACTTTCAACAATATTTTGGAGTGTCTCTGTGAGATTCCTCTCTCCATGCCTCCCAAAAAGGAGAAGATATTGACATAAAACACAAATTTAAACACTAACTTGTTGACAACTCCATACGTTCAGCATCATTTTAAGTGATCAGAATGTGTGCTTTTACCTGGACATACATTTGGAAATACACCTCGCAATGGAGACAGCATCCATCTTTTGCACTGGAAATGCCTCGGGCCATTTGCTAAAGTAATCAATGAGAACAGTGGCATGTGTATTCAATTGCTGGGTCTCTGGGAAAGGCCCTGTAGTACACACAAAGAAAGGCAGAAAACGTTTTTCAAAGCTGGAACCAATGGCCCAAAATACATTTTTATTTGTTTCAAATTGAAGCAAAAACCTATTATGTCAATTCCAACGATATCCCATGGTGCATCAACTTTGATTGGTCGGACAGTCCTCGACAGATTTTTATTCCTCTCTGTATGTTGACATGTCTCACATACTTTTATCTGAAAAATCAAACCATGTGGGTTAGGCATCAGCATTAGCGCCCCAGTCCAATGGTGTGAAAATAATCACATAATAACAGTACCCAGTCCACCACATCCTTGATGATGCCCAACCAGTAGTACTTGCTTTGAATTCTGTGGACGGTCTTCTTCTGACCCAAATGATGTCCAATGTCATTAAAGTGGCAGTCGAGAAATATCTGCCTCTTCCTCTCTGCCTCAATGATAACCTCTCTCTTTTCTTCTTTCTTTGGCCCCACATAATAGAGCTTGGCGTCTGAAAATGAAGAGACACATTTAAATATAGTGGGTGTAGGCAGTAGAGTTCATTATTTCAAGATACAAAAAATGTGAAATGACTAAATGACTGTGAAAGCAAAACTGCAGTGGAAAAAAAAATATATATATAGACAGAGACAGACAGTATTCTTGTTTTCCTGACGACTACTAAACATCACTATGAAGTTAGGTTGCCGTTTACGTCTGGCATACACTTTTCTGACGCCCCCCCCCCAAAAAAAACCACAACGTTTCCAGAATCAGGATGTTTTATTGATAAAGCTTTTACCAATGATAATAAATGAGCGGAAGTAGCCATGACAAACAACGTTTTAAAAGTTGATATGAATTTAATAAACGATGTTGGTTAAACTGAAAGTGCAAAAAGTCATACATATAACAATTTCCTAAACAATAAGATGAACAACAATAACAATATGCATTGCACAGTAGTCATGACGCTGTACGGTTGCAGAAACCATGGTGATTTCAAATACTGTACACGTTTAGGAAACGGAAGCTTGTCTTTAAGGTTATTGGGCCAAAGAGGGGGGGGGGTGTCAATATCAACCAATCTGTTTAAAATCTATAATGTAAAATTTTAAAGCAAGCCTGACCGTCGAAGATGAATTTCTGTGCGTATCGTTTGAGATTCTTCTTTCTTAAAGGATTCATCGACTGCGGGAAGCATCCTTTGGCCACCAAAGTGTAAATGTCGCCGAGTTTATTCGAACTGGACTCGACTACCTCCTCCTCTGCTACTTGCAAAGCGTCCACACTCAACATTTCTGCTATAACCTAATTGATAATAGGACATAACAACGCCAGAAAACATTAAAAAAACATATTGTGCTAATGCTAAAGCATGCGACTGGAGTACTGTAGTCTCTTCGTCTTCTTCTTTTCCTTCATTAATGATGAAAAGAAACACAGAGGATCATTATCGCCACCAACTGTCTCGCAATCAAAACGTCTGCGATACCCACGGCCTATCATAGTTGTGAAAACGCTCGTTGTGCCTCTATTGTTCTCAACAAGGAAACGAAGACTACCTACCACAAATGCCTAAATCAATTGCGGATTACAATAATGTAGTACACGTAAACGATCAGATTGGTGGTAAACACAGCAAATAAATCAATCAATGACTCAGGTGTTTTTGCAATATGTCACAATAATCAGGTTCACCAGAAACCATGACAACAAACCATCTTGCTTCATTTGAAAAGATTAGTTCGTAGGCCTACATGTAATTTTAGCTATTCAACTGTCTGAGGCTGGAGATCTAGTAAAAGATATCATGAAAGACGGTATCATGTAAATGTGGAATGACGTTTCAATTTTCCATCACTGAAATGAGACTAAGTTTCAGATTTAGTCCAAGAAATGTGTTGGAGTAGGTCTAAATACACTACATAGGGCTGAAAGAAAGAAGAAATAAGCATTTTTTTTTTTGCAATAATAGTGCCAAAACAAAAAATAGGTACTCCTGGTTCTCATATACAGTACAGTACAGTACAGTAAATGCGTTCATATTGAATGTGTTCAGAACGTTTTATAAAAATATAAAAGTACAGTACTGTACTTAGAAAAGTATAATACAGTAACGTGTGTGTGTGTGGGGGGGTGTAAAATAGGAAATAGTAAATACAAAAAAAAAACAAAAGCAAAACACGTAGTGTACTGTACTGTTGTTTTTGCAATTGTCGGTTTTGTCCCATCAGCCTGTGTTTTTCTAAATGGTATTGGATCAAAGATTTTGGTGGGAAACATCATTCTATGGATTTGGCAAATAAACGGTTTATGGTTAAAACTTTGCTTTTCCATCTTATGACCCTTTGTTAATTGTATTGTTATTGATCACACTTGTCACGTGTTTCCTTTGTGAACCGGAAACGGTAGTTTTGTGAAAAAAAATATCCCAAACAGGAAATGTGTAATGCAAAGTATGGCAGCTGTCTTGTGTGTTGATGTTTTGTAAGTTGTCGTCAGCACTTTTCTTAGTGACCACGATGACAAACGAACGAATAGGAGATGCGCAGTTTTATATCTGTAGCTGTTTTATGACAGACAACATTTTTCTCGAGGACTACAAGCTTCACGTTCGTTTTATGACAGAGGATCAGTTCAGACGAGAATATGAATCAGTAAGTTAAGTCCAGCGTTGCTTGTTTTGATTGCCGTAGAAAAATATATAAACCGCACTAACATGTGTGACGCGTATATTTTAGCTTCTGAAGAGCCTTGGCTGCGTTACGGAGCAACAATTTGGGGATGTCCTAAACAAGGCATGTGCGCTGAGTATGCCGAGTAAATTCGTCAGAGGTTTGCACCATGAAACCAAAGAAACACATAAGACGGGGGATATAAATAATGCATACATACATACATCCATACATATACACACACACACACAAGTTGCTCCAATCGCTGTTTGATTGCCACTCATGCTTAAAAATGACGCTGACTGGGTTGCCAGCCTGGCATGAATTAAAAATAAACCCCTTTCTTTTTCTTTTCTTGCTTTAATTCATAAAAAAACAAACTACGGTATGTAAAAATGCAGACTTGTCAAGTCATGTAGTTCAAGTCTAAGTCAAGTTGAGTCTCTTAGATAACAAGTCCCAAGTCAAGTCCCAAGTTTTTTTGCAAGCAAGTCTTAAGTTCTAACAATAGCAACTTGAGTCTGACTCGAGTCAAGTCATGACTTGAGTCCACCATCTCTGGTACTTTTGCAAGCCACTGTTGAGTCCCTGTATGCGCCTTCTTACTTCTTCTCTAGATTTCCAAGGAAGTGGACAGGCGATTGTGTCTTGCTGAGACATCCCTGAATAGAGCTGCTGTCATAAAAAACACATACCGGCCTCTGCATCCTCATGTCTACCATTTGCAGGTACATTATTTGTTCTTGAAGGTGTCGCTATTATTCATCCCAAACGTTTTTCCTGATGCATTTGCATGCCTCTCTTAGGAGACGTTCCTTGCGCCAGAGTTCAAGCACATTGTCAAGTATTGTCAAAGTCAAAATGTCACGCTCAAAAGTCTTTCTGACTTGTTGGCAAAAGAAACAGGTGAGCTAAACAATTTTGTTTTATATTTGTATGAATTTTGTAGGACATTTACAGGCCTGAAGATTTCGGAAATTCACGGTAACCGTTTTTCGGTTCCCTCGGATTAACCAGTGGGAAACCACTGTAACTAATTTTGGGTTCCGTAAACGTTCATCATTTTTCTACATTGACTGATGTTCATAATCAAGAATTCTGATTCTCAAAAGTATAATATTTAAAGGATAAATGGTTGAAAACTATGCATCAACAATGAACATAATTACATCAGCAGTTGTGTACTGTACTCCAGTAGAATAAATAGATCAAAATATGTTGTTTAACACTTTTATTGTAGTCATATGGCACCATGAATACAGCATGCCACAAAATCAGTGTCGTTTTTCCAGTCTCACACTGCAAAGATTAACTTACTGATAATCATTAATGTATAAATTACTATGAAATACTATGACCATCAAGAACATACGTGTACACAATACTTCAGTCCTGGCTATATACCATGGGCCACAAGTAAACCTGACACTGTTAACATGATTATGTGTGTGTACTATTTATGTAAATAAACAAGATATCAATGGCTACTTACCCCCTTCATTAATACAAAAGCATGTAATAGGAATTGACTGATTAAAATCATTTGATGAATCTTTAAAAAAAAACGACCTTATTACTATATATAGACTTATAGTATTGATATGGCTTGACGTCCTCTTTGCAACCCCAAGACCACGCGCTGTGTAATCTACTATCAATTTGCCCAAAGAATCTACCACACGTCATCGTTAGGCCTACCGACAGTGAACATTTGTATTACTACACCTTGTGACAAATGTTTTATTCATAAAGTTACCATGTCTCCAACTAGTAAATTATAGAATAACTAAGACTGTTTCGTAATATTTTTCATAGCGATTAGCCTTTAGATCTAATGACCAACTTCAAGTACTTGCCTTGGAATCGTGCCTCCCGTCGTATTTCTCTTTCTGTTTTGTGCATACATCACACGTCAGCTTGGCAATATGCCCTTCTTCGGATGATTCGAAAGAAAAATCCGACTGGCATTCCTATTATTTCTTAAATGTAGAAACTAATACACCTTTCGGTGTTTTCTTTTCGCCACCATCTCTAACCATCATCCATGCGTTTTCTCAGCGTGCAGACAAAAATAGGCACAGTGAAACACACAGGAGAAATTCTATCGCGTACAGTCAACTAGTTAGTGCGCAGTGATTTTTATGGGAAATGATTTTTTGGTACCGTACAAATGATCCCATGGAAACGACACGCTACCAGAAACGATCATTCCTGTGAAATCCTCAGGCCTGCATTTACAAGATCATTTTTAACAACGCGATGGAACCATCGTACATTTTAGTGTATGCCACTCAGTTTGACACGTAAGATGAATCAGTAATATGTCTTATATGTTGGCAGAGAAGGGTGCTTCACCCTATTGTGCTGGTCCGTCCTCCGTCTGCGACCTGGGCACCCTTCAGTCATCATTGCTCTATCCTTATTCATAAAATAATCTTCCTCTGACCCCCTTGTCCGTCTGCGTTCTTTTTCCTATTCACTAGGCTAGCACACAATTTATTGTAAAACAGTACGGATATATATAACTCCGCCGGCGCATTCTAATGCAGTACGTGCGGTTGGGTGACCGGTGGCATGTTTGCAGCTTTCCAAAGCAATTTTTGTCCTTAGCCAAGGCCATTTTGCCCGAGTAGGTTGATGAGTTTTTGGCCGCCTCGCGTCGGCATCCAAAACGTACATAGTCACATCAATGCGAATGAATTATCAGATGCAGCCAAATAAAGGTAAAAAAACACATGTATGATGCGGAACGGGACGATGAAAAGTCCATCACTATTTTTTTTCAACAATGTGTGATGTTGACAGCAGTCAACTAGAGCCCAGTTTTACACCATTACTTTATTATTATTATTATTTTTTTTTTGTTTGTTTTTTACTGTACAGTTTTTGGATTACTATTAAAGCAGTAAAAACACATTAAAAAGTTATCACTGTGCAGGTAAATGCGTTGAGAAAAAAAAAATCTGCTTTATAGCGGTGCTTTGATATATCGGGGAGTCACCAAATAGGATTTGGGGTGGGACACATTGTGGTCATCTTTTGTACATTACCATTCCTTTGTACGGTAATTGTTTTTGAAGGTAGATTTCTTTTGTACTAGATCACATTAGCTGTAGTCGATGTGGCATGACACTGGCACACAGAATAGCTTACAATCACTGCACTATTCTGTTCAAGCTCCCAGGGTTTATCGCTTCCCGGTGTTCAACAAGAGCTTCTGTGCGGATCTGCTGAACGAGCTGGAGCACTTTGAGCGTTCTGCAGCACCCAAAGGTCGACCCAACACCATGAACAACTATGGGGTGAATAAACCAGCTTTTCTAGCTCCAGTCGATCTGAAATGTGGTTTCTTTGTTTTCAACAACCACACCTCCTATTCATGTAGCTTGCTCCATCACACTCAGCAAAAAGTTTACAGGAGACATATAGTTAAAATCAGAGGTTTACCTAAACTATTTAACAGCCTCCGCACCCCCCTCATGATCCCACTATTTTTTTTTTATGCTTTTAGGCGCTGTGCTTTTGGCTGTGCAAAGCACATTAGGTTGCCTCGTGTATGAAACATGCGACAGAATTAATGTTGTGTTGCCTTGCCTTGAAGTGCAGCGGTCCCTCAAGCAGCATAACAGCTCAAAACGTGATGCCGCCACCTCCTTCTTTCAACGTTGGGATGGTGTCGTGAGCCTTGCAAGCTTCCTCTTTTTGCCTAAGTTTAACAATGCTCATTATCGCCAAAGAGTTCAATTTTTATTTCATCCGAGCGAAGGGCATATCCCCCAAAATTAAGGTCTCCGTCCCTTTATGCATTTGCAAACTGTAATCTGGTATCTTTGTGTTTGTCTTGGAATCATGGCTTTTTCCTTTCAGACCATGTCTGCATGCCGTACAGTACTTAGTGGATCATGACACACTCTTACCAGCTTCAGCCAGAATCTTTTTTTTTCTTTTGCTTTTGGTCTTTGGTTGATCTGCACCTTTGAACCAAAGCGAATTCATCTCTAAGACACAGAAGATGTTCCCTTCCTGAGTAGTATGATGGCTGGACATTGCATGTAATTATATGAGCAGATGACCAGCACATTCAGGGATCTGGAAATTGTAACCAAGGATGAACCAAACTTGTGTCGACAATTCTCTTCCTGATATTTCGGCTGATTTCTTTAGAATTTTCCATGCAGTTACAACAAAACAGCATGTTTGCCTTCAACTACATCCGCAGGCGTCTCTAATCAAGTGAAACTTCCAATGGCAGATCATCATCTTCTGGCTTTTCCTATGCTGTTTCATGGGATACTTCACATATGTACACCATTTGCAGCTGTATAAAGTTAATATGTCGTCTATAATTATTTAAATAACTATTGTCTTCATGTCCATTGAACAACTTCATAAATTATTTTTTAAAAAATGACAAAATCTGCAGTCATACCATATCGGCTCGAATCATAATCCCACTGAATGGAATCGAAGCATTCAACTTGAAAATGTCCCATTCCCTTATAATACGCCACCTATGGAGATACGTATCAAATGTTTTAATGGAAAGATGCACACCCCTATTCTCAATGACATGAGAAGTGATCATTACGTAGACGTGAGTCGCTTTAGAAGTCCCAGCAGTCAGACGCTATAGAAAGATGGCATGTTTTGGCTTTCTTCACAGATCCTCCTAAGTGAACTTGGCTTTGACCAAGGCTTTGTCACACCTCTTCGTGAGCAGTACCTCCACCCGCTGGCGTCTGTGCTCTATCCTGATTGTGGAGGTCACTGCCTGGACAGTCACAGAGCCTTTGTCGTCAAATATGACATAAAAGAAGACCTGGACCTCAGCTACCACTACGATAACGCGGAGGTCACACTCAATGTCTCATTGGGCAGGGACTTCACAGAGGGAAATCTTTACTTTGGTGATATGAGACAGGTATCATGTTTAGAATGCTTCTCTCCCGTCGGCGTACTTTGGTTTTGTTTTATATATACATCCAGTTGTGTTGAAATTAATAGCAGTGTGTTTAAAAAGCTCAAAATCCTATAATAGTGTATTTTTTTTTTTTTGTTATTTTCATGCACCGGAAACACTGAACATCATATTCTAAATTAAAACAGAGAAACATTTCTCAAATTTTAGATCGCTTGACAGAAAATGAAAATTGTGCTGTTCAACAAAATAGCTTTGTCAGCATTTTTCTTTGAAAAATTGAATATTGACTTCCATAACTAAAAATTTTTAGTATTTAACATTCCTGTCCCTCATGAAACAAATTTTCAGTTGTTTCTCAGAACTGATTCAAATCCGTGTTGCATGAGGTCAACCCACTTCTTGCACGTGTGAACACATATTCCAGCCCAGGTTGATCAATTTTGCCGGTCCGCCAGTCGCCAGCAGCAAGGCCACCCGTCTGTCATCGTCAGTACGTCATTATTTCAAGCCGAGCCAAAACTGTCATCGTCAGTCTGTCAGTACTCCATCATTGTTACTTTAACCATGCTTCTGTCATGCCCAAACCACTATTTAAGGACCCCACCCTCCCCCCACCCCCCAAATGATTGCCACGTTTTCTTCTCCTTAGACACCATGTCAGCAGCACAGTTAAAAAAAAAACAAAAAATACAGGCAGCGTGGTGATTGGTGAAATAAATATGGGACAAAGTCACTGCAGTCTGTGGGACTGGTCTGATGATTCAACTAGCTTGCAGATGAATTGACTCTCGATTCCAGCTGTGGCATGTTAGGGCAATACTAGTGCAGTAATTCTGTGTTTCCTATCTGCAGTTTTGTCACGAGCAATATCAAAATGGTTCAGACGGATAACTGTTCAATTCTTGAATAAACAAGTGAAACAAAACAGCTCGTCAACAACTCCCGACCGGCTGCAAGAAATTGCTGTTTTGTTTCTCGTGTTTATTTCGTGTGGAATATTTAACAGGCTAAGTTAAAAGGGCACTAGAAATGAGCAGTTCTGTTTTATTGCGCTTTTTTTACGTGGGTGATTTCAGTCAAATCTTTTTTGTTGCAGGTGCCTTTAAATGAGACCGAGTGTTCAGAGATAAAACACAGAGCAGGTGAGGGCATTCTTCACCGGGGCCAGCACATGCATGGGGCCCTGCCCATCTCTTCTGGTCAGCGTTGGAACCTCATCATCTGGATGAGATCTTCCCAGGAGCGCAATAAACTTTGCCCAATGTGCAATAGGAAGCCAGTTCTGGTAGAAGGAGAGGGCTTTGCTGACGGATTCACCAGACGCTCCACTCGGCTGCTTGCCGACTTCTGTGAACTCACCTGACATATTTGACTCGGAGTGTGCCTTCTCCATTTTTGACATGAGACAATTTTTTTCAGAGGTACCACAACCATCTACCTGGGTTGATTCAAGTGGCTACTTACTGGGTAGGGAAGTTGATGTGCTATGTGAAGCTAGCGTCCGTAAACAACAGCTGAATATGGGTGTTGTGTCAGGTAAACATTAGTGCTCTGGTGCCTGGTTCATCATCCAGACCCAATAAACGCTGTGAAGTCGTGCACATTGAAGTCATTTTGTGTCAGATGATGGGACACTGGCCCAGGTCATAAATGCCCTGTGAATTGTCATACTGGTACCGGTAATCATTTGTAAAATTGGACGTGAGATGATTCGTAAAATGTAAACTGCAGTTAATAGTGTGGTTTATTATTGAATTATGTTTCTTCTTAGTTAATTCAAAATGCTTTTTGTCCACTCATGTCTTAAGATGGGACATCTTCCTGACACTTATTTCACATTAAGAATGAAATCAGAGCGCCATTGTCGTGCAACCATCAGAAACCAAAATGTGTGTAGCTCATCCAGTTTTTCTGACAGAAACTTCAGCCATCTCAAATAATTACCCTCATGTAGTGCGTTCAGTCATTGCTTATCATGTGGCGAGACTTAGCGTGTATGCTGAAAGGCCGTTGTGCTTGACATCATTTTTCTTGGCAGTTAAGTTGAACTTAAAGTTTCTATCGAAAGATGCCAGAAACAGCGCATGTCACAAGACAGTATTTTTAATATCATAAATATTTCAGTTAAGCAACAAGTGAGGCATTTTGACACATTTTCCAAATCGGCCTGCTCATCATTTCTCATCCAGCACAGTATTTGTAAAAACAAAGACTTGAACTGTCCACCCTGCTTAATAAACCCATAAGAACATCAAGACATTTGGTTGTTTCTTTTTTTTTTTTTGTCCTGGTAAATATCCCTATGTGAGTATGTTTCACTGACTGCTTTGGGAGGCCATGGTCAAAAGAACGGGTTTGAGGGATCAGAGATGCAGTACAATACAACACAAAATACAGCCAAACTATTGAAAAATACAAGAGTGACTTTACAATATCATGTAAATAGCCTCTACTGTATGTTGAATACATCTCTGTACTTCTGAGGGGCAACTCGGCCTGGCCTAACGCTGTATGCACAGGCTGACACAACAGTATGATCCAACATTTACACAGTACTGTATTGCGATAATAGTACACCGTATACATCAAAGGAAGTAATACGACACATGAAAGCTTATATTTTTCAATATGTAATTACAAGTTCAATAAATTTATGAATAACCCACTGGTTCAAAAGTGTTTTTGTTTTTTAAAGTGTCAGGGATAAGTTGGACAATCTTGCTGCGAGCAGGCGTCAAGCATTCACTTCATAAGGTCGTCTCGCTGCTCATGTCTCGTGGCCGTTGGTGGTCCATGTCCGAGTCGTCATCCGACTCCATCTCGATCTTGACCTGTGGGACGGGGCAGGCCATCCCTCGCCCCATTGGCAATGCTGGAGATGACGGGCAGGAGATCTTCAGGTGGAGGGTAATGCTGAGGAAGGGCAAGCGCTAGTTACAGTTTCTCACACACTCAGGCAAAAACATGACGAGTTTGAGGGGAGAGGCCAAGGGAGAAAAAACAAGTTTGTTCCCGAGATGCCAGAAAGAAACTACAGCAGCTCATGATGGAATCTAGGGGTGAAAAAAGACAAATGACCAGGAAGGGCAAGTGCCTCGACTGAAAACAACAGTCACTATGGTATAGGTCAAAATTTATAGTTCAATTCCAAATTACTCTTCACAATGCAGTATCTCTTGTGACAAAGACCTCGATTTTGAAATAAAAATACACTGTACACTTTGTAGCTTAAATAAGTGACTTTATCATTCATTCGTCGGTCTCTTGTCATATAGTCACCATAACTAGCTGTATGGTGATTTATTATGACTGAGATACTGTATCTGGACATGCATCTGATATCAATTAATCAATTTTATATCAAAAATTGTATTTATTTTCTTTCCAAACCATGCCTCTTTCAAAGCAATGCAGACTTGTTCGTCCATTTCTCAAGGAAAAAAAAATAGAGGCGTAAAGGGTGATATGTATTTGTAGGGGAAAAAATTACATCTATCAACTGCATTTGACTGTAGGTGAGGTAAAATCAGCTCGTGGATTTGCTCAAGAGTTTTGGAACAAGGGTGAAAAAAGAAACAACCAAAGTAATCATGATTCTTGATACATATGGATGAGTCTAGAAATAAAACATCTCGGAATGCATTTTCTAAACATGACATTTGTCTTTTAGACTTCAGACGTTAGTTAATCACGTCTGTTCTTATTATCCATTCGTTAGATGATCCTAAACACAGAAATATAAACAGCTTACAGACCCAGCAAATATACAGCACACATTTTAATTATTTCCACGGGCCCTGTCGCTTCAAAGGTTATATACATCCAGGGTAAATACAATGTATACAACACGAATCCCAGGGCACATACCGTGAAACATTCAGTACACAGCACAGGAAGAAACAGAAGCAAAAATTAGACAGCAGGTAGGAATACAAGGATCTGCATTGCCTTAAAGTGCATGGAGAGGACACTGCGTGGGATTACAACAGCACGCCACACTATGAGGACAATGTTGTACGACCAATTATTGACCGTAGTATCTCTCCAATTGTCTATTATTTATTTACAACTCATCCAATAACAATACACCAAATGATCCAGGGGGAAGCAAAAGACTTGGGTCGTCGCAAGCCTTCTAATACCGACTAGCGTTATAAGACAATTGGAAGCAACAAAATAAAAAGCAAGATATTGACAAAAAAAACTTTATATTATTATTATTATTATTATTATAATACCAACACAAAGCCATTGTTTTCAGTTTTTTTTTTCAAAATCTAAATCCAAATCTAAATCTAAATCCAGCCTCCGTGTTGAATGTCATCAGACAGTGGCGGTGCACCTCATGAATTGGGCAGTAAGGCCCAAGTGATGGTATTCAGTCCTGTAAATGGTTTGCAGACGGATGTGCACACTCTTGGATCATAAATCAAAATTGTTTCCTACACCTTGAAACTTTTTCAATCTAAAATAAAAAATATATGTGAGGTGCAGAGGAAGGTGAGTTCATTTCTTGCACGTCAAGGACAAGAAGATGAATGTCAGTAAAATCTGTTTTTATTATCAGAAAACTTGATTTCGCCCTCAAAGTAGCAGACCGACAAGTGGCTGCCATCTTTGAGGACTAAAGACATACCTGGGATTGAATGCCTGGAAAAAACATCCTCGGTATTGAATTAGGCGATATTTTAATTCAAAGGTGGGCTTTTTTTATGATTCACCACTGATACATCGATATTTTCGATACATATGGAACATATTGGATGTTATACTCCCCCCCAATGCAATTTATTTGAACCAGATGGAAAATTACCCAATATGCAGAGTACAGTGCATCGGGAAAAAAAAGTTGCAAAGTAGGAGGAAGCAACATTTCAAATCTTTGAAGTCGTGCCTGTGATGCTGTGTTCTGTATGAATGGGATTGATGAAATATAAAGGGCTGTGGAGTTTCACACTTCACACACAGGTCCTCTGCTTTGTCGTGTTTGAAAGCAGTGTCGCTGTCTGAAGCGTCTTATAAATCACACCACATGCCGGATCTGGTGCCGGGCATCTAATTGGATTAAAGTGCACACAGTTGCGGCAGTTCTGTGTAAAAGGCAAAGGGTATCTTACTGCCAAACCTGAAGTTCGCTTTTGGCTCTGGTTTGGAAATTTTGCGGGATCTCAATGCGAAAGAGGCTGTTGACCATCTGAATGTATTCTGAATGCAATTTTATGAATTTTAGTTCTCACTCGTTAGAATGTTTTATTGGTTTAAGATGTTAATTATGGTTAACCTACATCATTGCGTCTCTGGTAAATAAAGGTTTTTAAGATAGTTTGGACTTGAAATGTACATATTTCATTTTTTACTGCAGAAAAATGAGCTTCTAAATTTGACCAAATCAAGAGGTTGACCAGTATCCCGGATTGGATTGTTTAGACCAGGGGTGCCCATTACGTCGATCGTGATTGACCGGTAGATCGCGGACTGGTCCCAAGTCAATCGCGAGGGGTGTAAAGGAGGGAAAAAAAAAACAACCATTTGTGTGTCTTTGTGCATATTAGTAATATATATTTTTGTGTTAATGTACCCTAATAATCCTATCAGACTCATTTTCACAAAAATAAAATAAAATAAAGCAGGGAAATCTTTAACCTACAGTGGCGTATGACCTGTGTCACCGCAATTTGTTAGCGCTCAGCAATCTGCAATTGCAGCTTGTGATCAAAGCTGTTGCACAATATCTTTTATCGTGATCATTATTCTCATTCAGAGTTTGTTTCGTGTACAATTTACTGAGGGCACGGGCAAAGAATAGGAATCTAGAGGGCCGAGGGAAGCACTTTAAAACGTTACGTGTCAGCTACGATAGTTAACAGACTGCAAAAGTGCATCGCATGCCTCCGTGTCGGGCTGTTGCTCATCCTGGCGTGCGTCTGCATGTGCGTGCGTGTGCGCGGTAACGGGTCGATTGCGGGAGGTTGGTTGATCGAAAAGTAGATCTTCGGTCCAAAAAGTTTGGGCACCCCTGGTTTAGACGGAACCTCAGAGGTTCCACTCTATGTCAATGCTTTGATCACCACAACTTGGATTTCCATTAGTATTTCCACTGTACGAGTGCGCCACTAAAAGCACTCACGAAAATCACAAAATATGTGTGTGTGTGTGTGTGTGTGTGTGTGTGTGTGTGTGTGTGTGTGTGTGTGTGTGCGTGTGTGTGTGTGTGTGTGTGTGTGTGTGTGTGTGTGTGTGTGTGTGTGTGTGTGTGTGTGTGTGTGTGTGTGTTAAAGAGCATGGTGTGTGGCAGAGGGCTGGCAGTACGCTCCCCACTCAGACTGTACAACATCAGGATAGACCAGATCTTTGTAGGGGATGTGCAGTTTGAGGACACAGTACCTGCGATCCAAGTCTGAATCTGAACTTGGTGAATGGTTGGCGTAAGGGCTGTACTTATCCTGGAAATCAATAATACAGGCACAGACAAGAAAAACAAGATCAGTTGTGGCCTGCAGGGGGCAGCAAAAGTTCATATTTCTCACCTCCTCCTCACTGACTTCCAATTTGGGCCTTTTCTTGTCTTTCCCTCCCTTCTTGTCATCATCTTTCTTCTTCTTCTCTTTCTCTGGCAGGAGGTCATCCATCCAAGCCAGGTCATGCTGGGAGAAGACCATGTCCAGCATTTTGCGAACGACCATCAGACCGAGGATCTGAAGTTCAACGCAACAAGGTGCGCACACACACATTTTCATTTTCTCACCAACATTTGTCTCATGGGCAGGTTATGGTCTTCATATGATGTAGTTGGATGGCATTTGAAGATGGCATAAACATGAATCACATGTATACTTAATATAAATAGCTCGCAGGAGCCATGAATCTGAGGACTTCTGGAGCATACGCAGGACATTTAATCTCATAACAATCGTGCGCAATAGAGTTTTATTATTATTACATACCATAACTGGAAAGATGATAGCTAAAAAGGTAGATTTGAGTATCCAGAGTACAGCCAGGCATATGATCTGAATCAAGGTGAACAGGTGGACCCTTCTCAGCGGAACATGACGCAGGTAGGAGAGGTCAGGTTGATGCTTGGATGGCATCATGTACAATTTAATCCTGTCCCAGAACTGTGGATGGGGGATAAAACCAGGTAGTGTCAATTTCAAACACCCGGTCAAATTATTGCACGAGTTATCGTGGGTCACTTGTTATACAGGTCCCGACGGAATGCATTATAACAGCATGAATTATTTAAGCATGTGGCAGAAGGGTGAAGAAGTTAATTGAATGCAGAACCTATAAAATGAATGAGCAATCACTGAAAATTTGGAGGGTTCGCTGATGTGTCACAGCTCTGACTGGCTGTGCATGATAAGCGTCAGCCCGGAAGATATTGAAAAGCATCAGCTTTAAATCCTCTAGCATAATCTAATTAAAAAAAAAAAAAAAAGATAAGTTTGGAATGGTACTCTCAAAAGGCTAATTGTTCAGCCCTGCACGCTATCATATTAAGAGATCTCGATTAAACTATTGACAGCAGGAACATGAGATGGTCATGGTAAAGGGGCTGTCATTTGTAGAGGACTTTCATATATCAGGTATTCAAAGCTCTTCACATTATTACTTTATCCACCTACTGATGACGCATCAGGAGGAACTGGGGGTTCCCTATCTTGATCAAGGGCACTTCGACATGGTCGCAACGGCTGGGGATCGAACCACCAACCTGTGCTGGGGAAACGACCTCTCTACCACTGAGCCATGCTGCCCCGGCGGGGTTAAAATATTTAAAACCGTCCTCAGTGTGATGCGGTGCACTGCAAACCTATTTTATGTATTTATCTATTGAACTAATACACTCTCTGACAGTGTGAATCCAAAGCCAACATTCTTATATATGTAGGAAAGACTACTGCATTAAAAAAAAGTATCAGATCGCTTTTTGAAATGTAAACAAAATTTAAATTGCATAATAATAATGTGGATGGTGAGTGCATGAAATGTTCTATATGTGTTACGTACACTTAGTTTCTTTCAATGAGTATCTGCCTGCTGGTTGGTTTGTTCAGCAGCTTGCAATTGTTTGCTTCCTGCTAAGCACCACTTAAAAAAAAGGTAATCAGAATGACTGCGAATACCTGAATTCCGCTGAGGGAAGCTACTCCCATGTAGAGGAAGACGCCGTACAACACCGGCATTGGAATGTACTGAAAGGGGAATCACAAAGAATTCATTCAACATAAGCAGTTGATGATTAACCACCCACAGTGTGTCATGAGGAATAAAATAAAAGCTACTACCCAGTAGTGCATAAGTCTCGAGCCACCATTCGTTCAGTTGTTTTACTGATCCTTTTTCCGAGCAGTCATTTGGACATAATTTAACCATGTCCAGTCGAGACGTGCACGAGCCAAAGGAGAATAACAACATGCAATTTCTTTTCATTGTTTGAGGCGTGGAAACCATCCAGCCCACCAGAATCATGAACCATGGATTGGGCATGAAACTAAGGAACAAATACAAATACAAATACAAATAGTGTTCTGTGGCGACAACAAGAACACTGAACTGCAAAGACGAATACATTCCAATCACATATCACATATGAATATACATCCATCCATCCGTGACGAGGGCAGAAAATTTCAATATAAACAGGAGACGGAATGTTTCTTGAGTGCAGGGGCATCCCGACATGTCTTGAATGTACAGAGAGAGTTGCGGTGCTCAAGAAATCAGACATCATAATTCAACTAGACGTGCAGAGGAGTACGCAAAATACAAGGGAGAAGAGAGAGGATCAGTTTGCCAATCGTGTTCACCTTCTGAAGAACCGTTAATAACCTTCTGAACTATGAATGAGGATAGAGAAGATTAGATGAGTGGTGGTTTTTGTTTTGTTTTGGTGTATTTTTTATACTTGAAACCTTTTTTGTGTACGACTTGATGTGGCCTAGACAAACCCAGACTCTAGCAGCCACATAAGTTGAATTAGAGACCAGTCTACATTGGCTGTGATGACGTAATTGCCATGGGGGGGTCGGAGGGGGGGGCGGGGTCAGAGGACGGAGGGTCCTCTGGCAGGTGGTTTGTTCAAAGCATTGTCTAAAAGCACAAGCACCTTACTGCCAGTGTTCTTACCTTTAGCACTGGAGCAAGGAAGATGGAGACCCCAGTGAGAACGAACACCAGAATGCCTGTCACTCGTTGTTCTCTGAAAATTCAAAATTATTGGCAAATACACCTAAAACATAAAAATAACTTCCCAAAGGATTAAACTCCACAGGTAAAAACACGGACACCTGTACTGGACATGCAAATTGCTTTTGACTGTCGCTGACCTGACTCCGAGGAATTGGGGCTGCTCTCCGGGAGCGCTGGATTCACTTTCCATCTTCAGAGAGTCAATGTGGGCGATAGAGATGACGGTGGCAGCTACATACCAGGGCAGACCCAAGAAGGAGCAAGTGGCCATCAGGACCCCCACCCAGAAGAGATCCAAATGGTAGCCACAGCCTTTCTGCCGAGACAACAGGCACAAAATCTTCATTAACAGCATGCTGTTGCTCTTCATGTATTTGCATCGTTGCTTTTTATGTACTGAAATTAGATTAGACAAAGGTCCGTGTGAAGTCTCCATTGTGAAAAGGAGAACATTTGGCTTGTTTAAATTGTTTATGAATGAACCTACGGATCAAAGACTTACTCGAATAATTGGACCATAAAGTGCAAAAGTTACTTAGCAAACCAATTAGCGATCCCACATTCAACCTATTACAGGTCAAGTAAACTGTTTATTAAGCCTTATGGAGAGAGTTTCGAAAATTTAGAAAATATTTTTAGAATGACACCAAACATCAATGCCTGAAAATTTAGAAAGGTTAAAAACTGATTTGGCATTTACAGTAATTACACACTACGTATAAATGGCCATACACAGATAGCTCTGTATCCGAGGCAGGAATGAAATCTGAAATGCAACATGATGACATTTTGTCTCAGCGACCTCAATCATCTTGTGTCAGACTGCATTGAAAATCAAACGTCTGTTGGGGATTCCCCATATCGAAGGCGAGTAAATGCTGTAAATGTGGCACTATATTCTGAACGTCACCTGTGGCATGAGAAGTAATGACAAATCTTCAGTCGTTTTTAATTATTTATAGTAATTTGTCACTTTTTTACTTGAAATATTGTATGTTTTGATTCTTGAAAAAAAATCTGTTTTCAATCTACGGTAATTAAGATATTTTGCATGTATAAAAGCAGCTCAGGAGTTGAACTGGATATAGGAAGAGAAGTATTCTATCAGAAGTAGACCTACCTACCTTCAGTTTGTTTTCCTTGCGGTTGACAATGACGGCACTGATTTGTTGGTCCATGAAGATGAGGATGGTGACAAGGAGGGCAGGTACAAAACTGCCCAAGTAAACCCACCAGGGGTTCTTCCCAAACGGCAACACCAGCCAGCCACGATCAGGCCGAGTTGGCTATTTAGAGACAAGAAGAGCTTTCATTCCCACATTCAAATCTCAAACGTGTCGTTAAATACTCCACGATCTAGTCAGGAGATTTATTTATGTCGTGATTCCGTTTCTGTTAGTATCCAGCAGGTGGGAGAGCAGGAACTTTCTATCCAGCTATGCAACTGTCACTCATCATAATCACCGGACTACTTAAAGATTGTCATTCTTATCATTCGGAGTTGCATAATTCGCCTTGCTCCAGCCATTGTTCAAGTTGCAGGTTTTTTTAGATGTTCCATGTTTTTGCGCCATAGTTCGATTGCCTCGCTTTTGTACTTTTCATGTACCGGGTAAGTAAAATTCTCTGATTTTTAAGATTATTCTCAGTTTGTGTTAGACACGTTTTGGTCCTCTTGTCCTTTTGTGCCAAGCTATTTTTATGTATCTTCTTACCTTTTGCAAGCGCTTTTTGTTTTTCTCATTTTTGTTCTGGTTATTTGTACCAGCGTCATTATTTGAACCTTGTCGGTCTTGTGATTTCTTTTTTTTTTTTGTTCGCAAATAAACCTTTTTGGTGCCAAGATTCTATCCGTTTCTGTGTTTGTGGGGTCCACTCCAATCCAGATCATTCTGGATCGTTACAATTGAATTTATATCTAAAATAATGATTTTTTGTTATGCCGGTATTTAGATGTTGAAATTGCTTGCTTATTCTGTACCCGACTTTTTATTTTGCGCGGATGGCCATTTTCATCATGGATTCAAATGAATACAATCAAAGGATTCCCACGTAGCTATTCAATACGTTGGTGTATTACTGTAATTTATTTTGCTGATAACATGCTCTCAATTTGTTTCAGCCATCCAACCATGGCAGAATTCTATGAAAGCTTCTGGTGCATTCATACCTACAAGCAAACAACAGCATGTGTGCAATCCCGTGAAGCAACAAGTGGTGAAAGGAGCGTCTTTAAAAGCAACCTATCGCTGGAAACATGTTGAGTGCATGTGACTTTTGTATTTATCCTTGCAGCTATTTTTGGCATGATGTGCCAGATTTTTACAGGGAGCTCTTAAGGGGACAGATGAAACATTCTTAATACCTGCATCATTACAGTGAGGAACAAACCATTTAATTTCCCACCTGATGCAAATGATGGAAAGCTCATGCACAAAATCAGATCCAAATGTTCTGAAAAGGGCAATTTTGACCGACTCAAGGATGCGTTAACAAATGAGGCAGGAAAAAAAAACGGGATGGGGAGTGCGGAAAGGGGCAAGGAAAAGAAGTAATATAGGCGATACCTTGAATTCTGTCGGTACAATTAACTTGGGAGTTTTAAGGCCCATCAGCATGTCAAGGCCCACAAACGTCATGATTGACATGAAGATCGAAAAGTCACTGATCAGTTTCCTAAGCTGGACAAAACAACAGCAACAAAAAAAAAAAACAATATGACAAGGTCAGACCGAAAACATGGAAAATAAGGTTAGTCGTTGACATGTCAACAAGCAACTCTGAACGCAGTTGGTGTTAAACAAATACAGGATAAACAATATCTATTTGTTAGATGTGATTGTTTGCAGTGTATTGGCAAAGTTGTCCAGTCTGTTTTGATTTCCACTCGGGTATCATTATGGTGCATTATCATATGTAATCACAGTGTTTCTGCGCTTTGGACGGCAACAAACGTCTGGAATTTTGGAACTCGCCCTCTGCAAATTATTAAAAGAAGGTCTCCAATTGATTGTACATGATAGTAAGTTGTATACTCAATATATTGCCGCTGTCCAATAACCTTTCTTGCAGTTTCTGTAACAGTGTATTATACTGGAACAGTTTCCTCATGAGGAGGCAGGTGCACAATTGTCATTGACAGTTATGGAAATAATTGGAAGTCAGTGATTCACTCGAAAGGTTGTACAAGAAATAATGAATATAAGTTGGGTTGGTTAACAAGAGACATTGTACAACTATTAAAGAGTTGCTTTGTCACCTTAGTGGGAAAGTAGCGGCTGAACTTGAACTTCTTGAGCGTGACAGTCATGGAGTATGTTCCAAAGAAGAGGATGAAGGACATAAGCGCCAGATCTGGGACATACTTGCAGGAATTCCCCACCAAAGACCCCCCGTACTTCAAACACTCCTTCTTACTCAGCTGACTCCAGTCCAGAGCTGTCACATTCAACTGCGGGGTGGTTGGGTGGCAGTGGTGCAGAGATAAAGACAGGGCAGTGGGGGAAAAAAAAGGAAGGTGCTTGAATTAAAATGTTTTTTGTTTTTTTTTCTTTCCCAAATAAACAACAACACGCAAGACATAGGGAGTGTGAGGATTATGGGATGGATGGTGATAAAGGAAAGAAAGTAACAGGACAGCAAAACAACCTCCAATCACTAGGAAAGATCAGGAAAAACGGTACACCCGTAATTGGGACTCTACTTTCAACCTAAAATGAATGGCTGCGAAATAAAGTATTCAATGAAAACTCTGAAAATAAGCACTTACCCCAGAGACACTAGAGCTGTTATCTGGCATTGGAACTAAACCATTGAAGATCATTGCAGCCACTGTTTGTGAGTTGGAGATGACATGTTGAAGCCGAGGGTTTAATGAGACATAAAGAGTAGACGAGGAGGGGAACAGAAGGGAATAGAAAAGAAATGTACAACGTCATAATCAGAATACAGCAGAACGCAGCCTGCGGGGGGCATGCCGTCCAATAAAAATGGGGACTTACTTGGAAGAGAGGGTAGCCAAATTGTATAAGCATGCCAAAAACAAACAAGAGACAAGTCAGTTACAGAAATCAATGTTTGTAAAAATGTTTGCATGTTTTACGATCCATCTGTGTTTCATCAATATGGGTGTCAGAGAAGTTCCAGGACTAGTGTCACAAACTACTAATAAATTACAAAAAGTACAAAAAGAGTTTTCCTCTTCAAAGAGAGACAGAAAATCAGCCAACACGTCTGCAACGATACTGCGCGTTTGCTTCACTCAGTACGTGAGACGAGATCAATGACAACACGGCAGGACAACTCATAACTGCCTCACCATGCCGACGGGAGCAACCTCCCTACTCACCCGACCTGGCTCGGTGTGACATTTTCCGCTTTCCTAAGCTCAAGGGGATCTTCAAGGGGACCCGTTTGACAGCCGTTTTGATATCAAGCTGGCCGTGACACCGGAGCTATGGAGGATCACGGAAGAATCCTCCGAGGATTTCATGAAGGTGTGGCAGATAATGCTGGGAAAGCGCTAGATTGACTCCAGGGGGCTTACTTCAAAAGGGAAAACTTGTAGTTTGTAGTTTGAAATATAAATATATCCTAAATGACACCAGTCCTGGGACTTCTCTGATACTCATTGTGATTATACGTCTCAAAAGACACACACTAAGAAATATGATTCAACGAATGTAGCTGTTCCTATAACACTGCATTCTGTGCCCAAGGGAGCATGGTAAATGGCGCTACAGGTGCGGCAACGGATTGGGTCCGGCCACTTCAATGCTGCAAAGTGCAATAGCTATTTTCTTGGGCCCCTGCCAGCCATTAACTTTTCAAATCAATACCACTTTTTCTCCCTTCGGGCTTGCCTGAATGTTTTTGTTTGTTTGTTTTGAAAATGAACCTTGAATGCGATTATGTACGATGAAATATGAATTCTGTATAAAAATCCATCAAGAGCATGTGCGCTTATTTAAAATGGCATTAGTTGTCACTGACTGGCAGTAATGTCAAAAAGATCAACGTGTTGCAAGTCATATTTTTGGGAGAGTGCACATGCACACACACACTGCAAGTCATGCTTCATGTCCCAACTTTTATGATGAGTGTACTCGTCCCTGAAAGAAGGGATAAACTCACTCGGGTCTGGCGCCAAGCACTCGCACTTGTAAGCGGTGACATAGTCTGGCTTGAAGTTGGTGTTGATGGGGTAGTATTTGAAGGAGCCCACCATCTTCTTGATGGCATCAGAGATGAAGATGAAGGAAATGAGGCTGGAGAAGCCCTCTTCAGTGAAACGTGTCATGTACTTGATAATGTAACTGGCATCGGTTGCCACTAGGATGAAACACTGCAAGCATGAGTGGATGCCTATCCACAGGCGCAGCTCCATGTAATCAATGTTGTTATTCCTTTAGGAAGGAGAAATCAGGGAAGCGTGTTGAGTGAATGGATGAAAGCAGTCAAGCTCCACCAAGTCAAATGCTAAAGCCCCTCAAGGCCAAATCCACCTTGTTACCACCTAAGAAAAGATATCCCAAACACTTGTCTGAAAATTCCTTCAAAATGGACATTGGGCCAAAGTTTCTTACCTTAAATTTGATGATGAGTTAAATGTATAGCAAAGATTTTTGTTTTTAATCCAACATTGTGGATCACCACAGTTAAATGCATGCCTTCTTGTGCTAAAATGACATATTGAATTTGCTTTGTTTGTGTTCATGTTTGTGAGCAGATCGTCTCCTTCCTGTCTACGTTATTTATTATCCTTCAATGTCAACCTTATTCGCTTCAAAAATCACAATCATTATCCACAATTTTTATTTTCTGGCGCTTGTCCTCCCTCATTCGGGTCTCAGGTGAGCTGTAGCCTGTCCCAGCTGACTCTCCGTGAAAGGCCGTACAACAAGGCCTATTAAGTTACATTTTACTCACTTATTGAACGGTCGATCGCCCCCTTTCTCATCTTGGACTCTCAGTATTTCACTCAACATGGTACAGAAAACAAATTGGAATGCTGCTTGTGTCTGCTCATATGAAATTGTGAACTCCCCTGTACCGTCCCGATCCCGTGATTAAAGCTCCTCATTCAGTGTCAGGAGTTGGGGAAAAAAGGCTCACTTGCTGAATTCAAACAGGAGCTTTTCAAAGATGAGGATGGGTCCAGTTGAGCTGAGAATGATGAGAGGCTGACCCCCGAGGAGACAGAACACAGAGCCGGCCAGAGCTGTACCAAGAAAACTTTCCATAACACCCTGTTGAGGACAAGAGGGACAGGCAGATAACATTGTCGGAGGAGGATGACTCTGTGTGAGCTAAAATACGAAAGAGTAAACAGGAAACGCAGAATGAAGAGGAAACAATTACTCTCTGGTCACAATAGCGATACAATCAATTGGTTTGTAGCTCTTTTTTGTCTTGTGTATCTGGTATTGCATGCACAGTTAAGGCCAAAATGATTCTGGTGATATTTTAAATGTAGGTTAATTTCTCTCGAGATAATTGATATCTTTAATAATAAATGTAAATCCAAATATATATTCGGAAGTTGTTGTTTTTTTTTTTTAATAATGCAAATGATTGCGTTTCCTCAATATTGTCCGATATGAGGAGAAATAACCATGATGAAAATAAATAAAAACTACACATAGTGAATTCTGCAAATACTCAAAATTTACCAAAGATATCAATATATTTGAATTTATTCTAAAATAGGTAAAGAGCAAAAAATTGTAAAACTTGAACCAATTCATGAATGTACGGTACACGCATCTTCAAGGAAACAAAAAGACGTAATCAAAAAAAACGTTTTGCTAAAGTAAGTACAGCAAAACAAAATAAGAGGATGTACTGTAGGTGGTATTTTACCTGGTAGTTTTCTGTTGCATCTCCCAGAAGGCCACCAAAGGTGATGGCATTAGTGATGCAGCCCAAATAGATGAAGAGCACAGCTGAGATGGATTGAATGTGGAAACCCTCGTAGAAATCACTGGGTAGCCAAGGCAATTTGCGCTTTATGTCCAGGTACAATCCACCACAGAAGCTATTACATAAACCAGACACCGTTAGTCAAGCAGGTGGTGAATTGTGCAGTAATCTATCCTTCCATCATTTTCTTCCTCTTTACGTCTGTGCACAACAGTGACAACACAAGGTAAAGCTGCAAGAGATGTCTATGTATACGTATGTCACTTTTCATGAATCGGCAAATAAAGGATTTACTTGGTAACTGGTTGTTTACTTTCACACCTTATGAGCGGGCAGGCAAAGACTCAGCTATTTGTATTAAAACAATAAAAATAAAAATGAAGTAATTGCATTTCCCATAAAATATGCATCTATCCATTATCTGAACTGCTTATCCTCACGGGGGTGCCTATCTGAGCTGACTTCGGGCGGTAGGTGGGGGACAACCTGAACTGGTTGCCAACCAATCGCAGGGCACACAAAGACACCAAGACTCACAATCCCACCAAGGCAGAATTTAATGTTTTATAAATATACCATGCATGGAATGGGGGAGGAAACCGGAGTACCCGGAGAAAATCCACACAGAAAGGCTGGGGCCAGATTAGCACCCACAACCTCTGCACTGTGAGGCAGACATGCTCACCAGTCGACCACCGTGGGGCCCCCATAATATATAAGAGGTCATTTTATGACACAATTCAGTGGTGCAGAATGCAGATCAAAAACACGCATTACCATTTTTATTTGCTACGTCCAGCTGGCTTGTTTGTTAGAAATGATTTAAGTTGCGTTGGCAGCGTGTGAGCAGTCCCACTGGCATGGTCAGAAGAGTCATTGCCTGATCGCTCAGTCTAAGTGTTTTATTAACAAATGAGACTACAACAGATGCATTATAATCTATAAAATAAGTCTGTGATTATTCATTCTAGATCAGGTTGAACAAATTACTCGTGATTTAGTAGCTGATTTAGAAAGAGTAATATGTACAATTAGGAGAGCAGAGGTTGTATGAGGATGTGTGACGTTGACATTTTGGGTGGTTTCAAACTGATTTTTATCAAAGGTAATGCAAATGATTGTTGTTTGCATTTACGAACTGAATGGATGAATAGATTGATTGGCCACTCCTAAAGTTCACGTCCAACATTGGCCCCTGTTTCCAAAGAATTGCTGTACCGTACTGTCAGTATTGTTGCAGTGCGGAGGAGGGTAATTTGACACAACTCCAAACTACAACCACAACACTTCATTTATGATCCAGTTAATAACTCTCTGGCAATCCAAATCAGGCAATATTATCTTTGTTATGACAGATTTTAGATTGTGTCTGTCTGATCCCTTTTTGCGGTTTGGTTTTCATTAATGAATTTGGGATTTGAAGCCAATGTTGAGTTTTGTTGTTCCAGGCAAGTCTCAAATCATATATACACTGTCAAAATGTTGAGGAAAAGCTGGCCTGACAGAAAATTAAAAGAAACATCTTTGCACGCTGAGGTAATTGCATGTTTGTTCGTGCGTGTGCGTGTGTGTGTGTGTGTGTGTGTGTGTGTGTGTGTGTGTGTGTGTGTGTGTGTATGTGTGTGTGTGTGGAAGGGGGGCGAGGGGGTTGAATTGTAATTAGACACAAATCATGAATAAATATGACACCTTAGGCAACCCCCAAAATAATAAGATTAATGACCAGTCACATTTCCATCCCCTAAAAATAATGATTTGGGAACACACCGTCCAGTGAAGGCCAGTTCCTCTCCCAGCTCATGCTGTGCTGGCATTTCCTCATCCTCAACGCGGCCTCCTCCTCCACCTGCTGCACCATTCATCTGTCCCAATTCATTTAAGGAGAACACCGACTTCCTGAAGAAGAGAGTCGGAACAAGATACATGAGTTGATCCATGAAAATGTTTGGATTAAACACACAGCAGAAGTTCAAATTCCGACCTTTTGTCTGCGGAGGGAACTTTCTTGGGTGGCTCAATACGGATTTTTGGATCCCATTCCCCTGGCGGAAGCACAATCACCTCATCCAAAAATTCGTCTATGCCCGCAATGAGGTCCTCACGATCTCTGGCTTTGTAAGCTACGTCGCTGAAGAGCTATGATAATAGGACAGAGAGTGATTTTAGCATTTCACTTGGCACATGCTATGGTAATAAGTACGTACAGTATATACCACATCTCAGTATATGCTGAGTTTGATGCATTCTCATGCTCTGCTGTCCTTTGGAGACTCGCTAAACATAAATTCTGCAAGCCGTATTGACATTTCAAACCCAGCTGGATTTCATTCAAGAGCACCTGCCAGTCACCAGCTAATGATGCGCCTGAGGCTGTGAATCAAGTGCAGGGAGAACATCATTCAGTAAAGGAAATGATAGTGGGGGGTGGCTCTAATTGACAAGAAAATGTGTCCATTTTAATCAGCCATTCAATTGTGAATTGAAGCTGGCCACAGTACGGTCTCTGTCCAATGAAATTAATAAACAAAACACAGAACGCACATGACTTTCACAGAGTGGCCTTTAACATATTAAATCATCAGTCCGAGGACAGACATATTTTCCCCAGAGCGGTGGCACGTTCATTGATTTTCTCCCACCAGCACAAGTGACTTAACTTCATCTCTGTGCAAGCTTTTTTTCCCATTTGGAACCAGCATATGGGTTTTACAAGCCAGCCGCACAGAGTAGGTTTAATAATGCAGTGAGCAATTTTTGAGATGCATGTTTCACGGCTAAGGCAATATTTGCCCTACTTGGTTTAAGAGATTAAAAAATAATAATTTAAAAAATGTGTCTGAACAAACTCATCACCTCATGTACAAGTGTATTTGACAGCCTCCCTAAATTAACAGTTTTGGTAATTACCCAAATTTAACTTCATGTTTCTGTAATGGGTTACCTACTCAGCAGTATATTGAACCTCAAGCAGATGACATTATATTTCGAATACTAATACAATTCTTGCTATCCATTCATTTGAAAAATTACTGTCTTCCAAAACCACATTGTCATTTCTTGAATAAGATGTCAAATTTTAGTTATTTACTTGCATTCCTGTGCCAGTAAAAAAAAAAAAAAAAAAATAACGTTTGACTGCTATGTTTTGATTTGATTCATTTCTGACTTTTTCAACAAGTCAGCTCAAATTTGGGTATAACTATCTCATATCTCATTTGTGTTCAAAATGGAAAAGCATTGCAAGTGAAAATCAAAATACCGCCAAACCTCGGTTTTCGAACGTCTCTGTTATCGACCAAATCGGATTTCGACCAGAAAATTAAAAATTTTTACGCCTCGGATTACGACCGAAAACCGGTTTTCGACCAAACCGAGCAAACCCGAATACGCCACTCCACTCCTCTCGGCATCCTTACACGAGGAAGTGACGCTTCCTCGTAGCGTTCATTGTGAGCATACGTGTTTGTTTTGATTTACGCAAATCTGACTGTTTTTATGTTATTTCTGCATAGTGTATTAGCCCCTAGTCATGGGCTAATAAAATAGTTTCGGATTTAGAACAAATTGCTTTTCGAACAGCCTTCTGGAACGGATTATGGTTGAAAACCGAGGTATGACTGTAAAACTCCACATCATGGCAGGGTATGCAGGAAAAAAGAAAGTATAGAATCAGCTTCCGAGTCATTCAGGCCTTGATCATAATTTGATTTAAAATTTTGTATTTTTTACCTTCCATATTCACCCTATAAGACTGCAGTTCATATTCACTTCATAAGACTGCCAGTTCTGTTTCTTTACCAGCATCCATGTGGACTGGACATTAACACTTGCGGGGTGAATTGTAATAACTGTTCTGCCGCCAATATTCTCAGCCACACGCAACTTTCTAACTACGAATGATAATGGATGAACACTAAAAATTATTTGGCGAAGAACTCGATTCCATATGAATGATTGCTCATACAAGGTTCATGAATTTGCCGAAAAAGTGGCTGATGTGTTCTCATTTCAGGGGACTACCGTTCCGTTTGAAAACATTTATGCTCATTTAAAATATTGAATCCAAATGAATATATGTTTCAGGAAGCTGGCATAGGTTACAACTTCGAATCTTATCTCACTGTCGTTTTCTGCACTGAAAATAATTCAATCAAATTGATCGAAGAAACATCTGGCAGCTGGGATGCAAGAATATTTTAGGAACTGCGAAGTCATACGGTAAAATGTTGACTTCACTGAAATCCCTGTACATCTTTTTACAGGGTGAAATTGTGACCAAAAGGTTTCCAAAAAGAATCTTTTTAATTGGCAAATCAAGCATCCCTTTTCTGCCTAAATAAGATGAAACATGCTGCTAATGAAATCTAATATGTCAGGAAGATTTTCATGCATTTGTCACTTAATGTACATTCAACTGTACTTCACAAGTGATAAGATGTCTGCTGTATCACCAAATTACGGTTTAATGACCACACCTGGGAGTAGCCAGGTCAACCTTGCAAAACAGGGAACGTGGCCGCAAGGTCATTGTCCACCAAATAAAATGCACACATAGCAACCTTCACTCCATGAGTCATCACCTTATCGTGGTGGAAGCCTTTATGTGTCCCAATGATCGTAGGTGATAAATTGTCTGGGGCTTTATGCCCCTGGCAGTTTCATCCATTGCAAACAGGTCCAAGGTGAGGGAGCGGACAAAGCACAGCTCAAAACGGCCATAATGAATACAATTAATTTATTAATGGAACCATTTTCCCTTGCCCAGAGGCAGGTAACTGGGGCCTCCCTGGGCAGCCGGGCCTGCACCCATGGGGTCCCAGCAGCCGTAACCGAAAAAGGTGACCGGAGTCCCCCTTCTCATGGTCTTACCACCTGTGGGAGGGGTCAAGAGGGTTGGGTGCAAAGAGCAGGGTGCTGGCCGAAGGCTACAGAAGCTAGCTCATCTCACCTCACTGGCAGGGAAGGAGCATGAGCTGGTGGAAGATAAGAGAGTGGACTAACTCCGCCTTTGGCCTGACTTTTGTTTGCACCTGTGCTTCAAACAGCAGATTTTTCAAAAAATGTATTTGGAATTACTTGGATGCAAATCACTCATAAGTAAATACTGTATTTCCATTCATTCAAAGAAAACAATTCACATTTTTGTTGAGACCATCAGTGCAACACCCGTGAAAGATGTAAAAACACACTGGAAATTAAAATTTGGTTGAATTTTCTCAGTTTTATTTTGTCAACTGGTTGTACAAAATAAAACTGGTTGTACAAAATAAAATCATCTGTATCCAGATACATTTTTAAAGTAGACGATATTATAAAGGGATTTTTAACAATTTTTAATTTCAGCGATTTTATTTTGTGCTACCATTTCATGAAACTTAGTAATAATAATTATACATTTTATTTATAAGCGCCTTTCAAGACACCCAAGGACACTTGTAAATTCAACACTTGTGCTCAGTGTACTTTACAGTGCAGAAGAGTGTAATATATTCTTAAATCTGGCTTTAGGAAGGAAAAGGCATCACATTTTCAAAGTTCCTGAATCAGGATCGCCATCTGACAACCTTCTTAACAGAGTTTTGAGATAATGAACATTCCATCCTCTTTGCCATATCGTTTAAAAAATTCTTTCAAATGATGATGAATGGCAATAATAATGTATTCCTTTTTGACATCACAGAGCTTTAGCATCACTTTCAGTTGTACTCAATACATCACGGCGTTGCACCTCAGAGGGCAATATATTTCATATTTCAGCCCAGAAACATAAAAAAAATAAAAAAAAAATCGAACTACTTACATCATCAACCATGAGTGTTGCTATGGCTCGGCCTATCTCGTTATATGACTTGGCCTTTCCCTGTGGTCCCAAGAGAATGAACAGGAATCTGTGCAATGATGAAACACATATCAGGTATCTGCAGGGGCAAAGATTTGGTACGTGACATTCAAAAATAAGGGCCATCTCACCTGGTGGGCACAGGCACCTCAGTCAGACCTCCAAGTGTTGTAGCTTGGGACAAGCGGACAAAGGCAACAAAGGGTTTGTGGAGGAAATCCACTTCTCCCACCAGCACGTTGGAGGCCTCAGCATCTCTGGGGATCTTCTTCATGAATTTATTCTTCAGCTAACGATGGCAAACACATAGGGATAGACAATGTCTCATGAGACATATTAAAAATCGCATCGGACCTCATTCAACCTTCTGTTCTCACCATATTTTCATTTTAAAATCCAACTCACATTCCTCAATAAGATTTTGGTATTCAAGAACGTTTTATTGTCTGGAATTTATTCTTCAAAAACCAAAACAACTTACGAAGGCACTGCAAAAACACCCACACGGGTGTTTGATAAATATACTAATTGCTTTACAAAAAAACTTATATACAGTATGTGTGTGGCACTGGCAGTGTAGTGGTTTATGCTGCTGCCTTTGAACTTGATAAACAAGCAATTTATTTAAAAAAAAAAAAAAAAAACATTTGTATGATCATAATCCCTTGCGGGACTCATGATGCATATTTTGTTGTGGTGCACACACAAAAGACAGATCACAACATACATGGAAACATGCATGATATGTCAATTATATGTATGCATGACATGCAAAGCACTGTACTTGTTGAGCTTCACAGCAAAGGAGGGCCCCCCCCCCCCTCTTGAAAATGCCATCTTCCCGAACAAATACATTTCTCTCCCGATAAACACAACCGATTTTTTTTTTTTTTTTGGTTTGTTTATTTTTTTCCCCCCAAAGGAAAAATGATAATTCAGCTGTAATTACTTTTACTGGAGTCACCTTTTCACAAGGCAGTATAATTGGGTTTGGTAAGTTAGACACTTTTAGGGCGCTTTTCTAACTGACGAACATGACAGATAGCTGCATACCCCCCGCAAAAATAAATAGAATAAAATGACCCCCCCACCAAAAAAAATAACTTGCTTGAGGTGTTGGAAAATTTACTTAATATGGTAACACAGAGTTGATAAGTTGGCAACATTGAATGAGCTCGCTTCATCTCATGAGCGAGCTCTGCCAGCGGTTGTCATGGTAATAAAAGCTATATTCTGCATTTTCATGAGACTAATCGCACCTCATTGTGGTCCACAAATCCCCCTAAATCTTCATTGGATTTGACTCACAATTCTTTGAAAAGTATTTGTTCTTCTATTGGAGCACTGGCTGTTGGGCATATTGATTTTATTTTTTTTCTTCTTCATTTTGTGCCTGAGTATAAAGAAGTGGCTAAATAATGCAGTTTGGTGCACAGGAGCTATACAGGTATTTGGGAAGCACATTGACCTATAGATTTCGATGGAGAGGTGCGGCAAAGGTTTTGGCAGAACAAAAACACTCAATAATATGAGAGCCTTGCCAATAACCCACAGCCTGGTTCTCTAGCACCATGTGAGGGCCAAGCACGAGGACAATATGATCCATTTTTTACCAGCTCAATATTGACACAGGCAATGCAGCAAACTATCCTTGTTCCACTGTCACATGTGACCAACTATAGGTCTGCAAATGCAATCGGAGCACCCATCTCTCCCCATTTGGATTGTTGTGTTAGCGTTGTAAATGTACAACTTGGAATTACAACTTACAATGACACTTGCAATGACTACTTATAATAAGTAGTAGTGTGTAGAGAAATACAGATCTATAGATATAAATATTTAGTATATTATTATTATTATTATTATTATTATTATTACTATAGGTCTGCAAATGCAATCGGAGCACCCATCTCTCCCCATTTGGATTGTTGTGTTAGCGTTGTAAATGTACAACTTGGAATTACAACTTACAATGACACTTGCAATGACTACTTATAATAAGTAGTAGTGTGTAGAGAAATACAGATCTATAGATATAAATATTTAGTATATTATTATTATT